AGCGTATCCTGGTTTTCAAGTACCCCAGCGGGGATAGGGTTAAAGAAACTGTAGAAGTAATAAATGGAAAGAATAATAACCTGTTGATAATGGAATGCTGCAGCTTGCAGGGTGTCCCACGAAACATGACAGTTGGCGAATAGTTTAAAATGTCTTCTTCTATTATATGATATGTTGTTTAATACTTAAGATACATATATAAATAACATTTTTATATGACATTTTCATTATAGTAAAATTGATTTCACAGTAAAATATATATACTACAAAAAGTCTTTAATATATAATACAGTATTCGGAAGAAGGCATTCAAAACTATTCACCAACTGTCTTGTTTTGTGGGACACCCTATATTTAGTTTTTAAATGAAAAATCAAATGAAAAATCAAATCTAAAGGATATACGAGGTCACACCAGTAAGGTCCCTTAAATTAGACCTTCTTCTATCTACACACACTTACAAACATTATGCACACAACTCACTCGAACTCACTCACTCACTCACTCACTCACTCACTCACTCACTCACTAACTCACTCACTAACTCACTCACTCACTCACTCACTCACTCGAACTCACTCACTCACTCACTCACTCACTTACTCACTCACTCAATCACTCACACCCTCAAAGATCACACATCACACATTCTAACCTCCTGAGGTGGAACATCAAAGGATACTGTTCTCAAATCAACTTTTCTAAAATAAGAATAAGTTAGTAGAACTCGAGTCCCTGCCACAAAGTCTGATTTTCTAATCCCTATATCTTTGCAACTAAATTTCATAGACCTTAATTATTTCAAACTATTAAAGGTTTGCACCATCAGGTTGCAACGATATAGGAATTAGAAAATGTTACTGTGTGGCAATGACGTAATTCCTCTGGTCAGAAGTCAGAACGGTGGTTTTGAAAATCTGAAAATCAAACTTTAATCAATGATCAATTCATCAATGATCTCCAAGCTATGTTAATTCCTCTTTGATATCACATGGTGGTCATGCATGGGTAACTTTAATTGAAACTGCCCACATTGGATATAGAGATATATAGAGATATATAGAGATATATAGATATATAGAGATATATCGATATATAGAGATATATAGATATATAGAGATTAACGATACTTCCCATCAAAAGTTTCGACCTCAGTAAAAATATTTTGAAATCACGTGACAGGCTATATAATCACGTGACAGACTCTATAATCATGTAACAGGCTTTATATTCATGTGACAGGCTCTATAATCACGTGACAGACTCTATAATCACGTAACAAGCTTTATATTCATGTGACAGGCTCTATAATTACGTGACAGACTCTATATTCACGTGACAGACTCTATATTCACGTGACAGGCTCTATAACAACGTGACAGGCTCTATTCCTTTTTAAAATGCACGATTTTCTGTTCCGTTTTAATTTTAGGATATGAGCTTCAGTGACGACTGTGCGGAATTCATTTATTCATTTTTCCCATAGTCTTGGTTTCGTTTATGAAATTAAATAGCATCTGTATTTATAAAGTTGTAATCTCTGTTTGTTCATAAGTTCATAAGGCGGGAACCCCTTGGACCGATTTGCCTCAAATTTTGATTAGGGAACTCAGAACACGGGAAATTTTCTTAGCTTAGTTTCGATATTCTAAATGGGTTTATCGGGAAAAGTAGCTTAAATCGTAATTTACGACAAGGGGCATGTAAACGGTGGGACTAACTATGACTCCCCCGCGGGTCAATATGCTGGGTTCTCAGGCTAGTTTTATAACGTACAGTTGGTCTTCAAAATCTTGAAATTTGTTATAGAATTAAAAACAATTTGCTGATATGCATGATGAGATTAAGCAGGAACTTATCCATTCAAACGTTTAGCTTTTTTAGGTGTGTCACTTAATAAACCACACAAGACAAGCAAATTTAAGAGTTTGGTCCTGATCCCAGAGAACTCTGACTTAAGTGGAACCAACCAAATTTGAGCGCTTCTCAAATTTAAGCCGCGGCTACATTCGGCCTCTGGAAAACCCTGTTTAGTAATTTTAAGTAAACTTATATGTAAAGAGGACCATACCCGATTCTCTACGGTATCATCGTACTGTACTGTACTGTACTGTACTGTACTGTACTGTACTGTACTGTACTGTACTGTACTGTACTGTACTGTACTGTACTGTACTGTACTGTACTGTAATGTACTGTACTGTACTGTACTGTACGGTACCTATATCGTATCAAAATATAATCCGCAATTCACCTTTATCACAATTGAAAATGATCATTTTTCAAAGTTTAGAACATAAATATCACAATCAATCTCGATCAGACAAAGCTTTCAAAGGAACAGTTGTGAATCGGACATGTTACTCTAGAGAGTCACTTAAAATTTCATGTACAGTCTCTTTAAACGTTATAGTACCTGTAAGTGTCAATGCAGGCGATAACAAAAAATATTCCAGGCCCCTTTGCTCCACCTAAAATCAAATTTTTTTTGAGAAAAAAGTTCCAAAAAAGAACTGATTACTCGACTCTGATTTTCTAATCCCCTTTTTACTGTGGATATCGTGATCAATGCTTAACCTCGATATTTTGTTAGTAAAAAACGTTTCTTTTGCTGGCTGAAACAACTGGTGAAATATTACAAACAACTTTACGCTCTTTTTTAAAAATTTTAAACCTTAAAAATGTCTCATTGGTATCAAATATAACCTATCTCTACAATACTGCACTTTCAGATCATATATGTTACATAGCCCTCCCTTTAATCTCCATCTTTTGTTAATCTACAGATTAATTTAATCTTTACGTTTTGAAAAGTGTCATCGTTAAAAACAAACAGCCAATCATAATCTAGGAAATTTTGTGTTCCATCAATGAAAGAACAGAGAAATAAACGATAGCCAAATCTATAGATCTAGCTAATTATACGTAAAATTCAAATGTGCCCATAGTTGCTATAACTCAAGGGATCGGAATTATGGGTATCCACACTTTAGTTTCGATGTAAGTAAAGAATTTCATTTAGTCTTTGCCGCTGATTTACATTTGGATCTATTATTAAATTTTTAACATTTGAAAAGACGGATAGACAGATAGATCTTGCCGACTTTGCCATCTCTATTGGACCTGAGTA